AATTTATAACTTGTGTTGGGCATGGCCGTGGTCTAGGCAACACGGAGTTGTCCTCCGGGGTCTTCCCCGGTTTCTCCGTGGCATCCCAACAATTACTCCATTCACACACAGAAGAAGGCAATGGCAAACCACTTCTGGATCATCTGCCAAGAACGTATATGAACAGGTCCCAGTCCGAGAAAAGGATGGAAGGATCCTGTTCATACGGACCTGTCGTCAGACAGAACACTAAATAAATAATAAATAACTATAATTCATATCTTAGCCCAGCACATGCTTCGATGTCGTGTTATTAAGCGATGTTTTGCAAGAAGTAATCCAGCATTGGATGTGGTTAAGTCTACTCTTCTTCTGCTGTGTAAATAATCTGCGTACATTCTAGTCTTAAAGTACTTTATTCACGCATAACAATCTAGTACTCCAGAATATTTCCTCCTTTTCATATAATTTTCCTTCTGTGTAACTGTCATATCATCTTGTAACTACAGCTTTACGAATTAATTTCAAGTTTTGTGTTTTAATCAGGAAGGGTAACCTTTAAAAATAAAAAAATCTCTCTTGCCTTTGAATAAATAGTCTATGTCGTATTTTTATCTCCTTCGACGTGTGTCAGTAGACGGCCATACTTGCATGTGTGTGTATGTGTAAGCCACAGAATAGATTTTCACAAGTGTTAAGAAGTTGTTTCTAGATGTTTTAATTTCTTAATAGCATGCCTCAAGACACAAAGATAAAAAAGGGTAAATCTGTCGAAATATTCGCGACTTAACCTGTCAATGTTAACACGTGATGGTTACTCACAATTTCCATAAACCATCAAGTAATTCACGTCAGGTTTATTGGTCCCCAGTTCGAATCACTGCCCATAAATCGGTTTTAATATCGTTATTTTCGTCAGTCACTCCACAACTAACGATAACCTGCCCAGTCCGAAGCTGTTTAACCTGTGTAACTGATACAGCATTCTCCGTAGATGATACGGCGCGGAAACGAGCGTGTTCTAAAACTGTACGCACTACTTTTCGCACGAGGAAGCGTTCATAATTTGTCTATTCTGAGTTAAACGCCATGCGAGTGGAACGTAGTACGTATATTCTTCATACGTTGTTAAAAATACCCACGAAAGAATTTTATTTTTCTAGGATTCTTCGTTTGTTAGTTTGTTTGTTATATGTCGCTGCTGCTGTCTTCGTCGATATCATCGAGCTGAGTGTGGGCGTAACAATTCGTAAATGCTGTGTGGTGCCACATAACCTCAAAAGTTAATTTCACGTAGCATTTTCGTGACTTTGATCGGCGGCTCACTTACTTTTAATTCCTGACTATGACAGCAGAGCTCGAAAAGGTTCAACAGCGCCTGTCATTGGACTCGATCTGAGCCAGCTTAATCCAATTCACATCATCAAATCTGTTATCGTTGTCCCAAGTGACCTCTTCAGCTGAACTTTGCACCCAAATTCTACAGACCGATCTTGGTTGCACGTAACTTCATTGACTTTAAAAAAAAAAATATATATATATCGTGTGGAACGTATCGCGAAACTTCTCATAGTTAGTTCCAGTATTCTCCGTCTCATTTCGTAAAGACTATTTTCTGAGCGGATCATTTTCTCACTTCACATTCTGAAGCAGGAGTTAGGCCTGTGTTACCAGAAAGTGACAAGACAATCCGTCACTTCTGAGTTCATATTTTTACTAATCTCTACGTCCGTTTCACTTTATGCAAATATAAATTCAGTATCCGCACATAACAATACTAATAATCTCACAAGAGCTCAAACTTCAAGTTATGAAATTATAGAACGAACTTTTCACTTTTAGAACACGATCTCTTGGTGTTTTTCTACAAAAAATACTTCAGGCATCTATTAAATTATCACCATAAGAACGTTTACTGGCCAGCGTATCCTCTTGGGATCTAAAATTTATATTTATTACACAGAATAGAAATTATCAAAACTTTAAAATATTCTAAAATGGTTATTTATATATAAACACTTGTGATTAAATATATAAGTAAATTAAAGATTTACAACGCTGAAGTATCCGATGACACGCCAGCGCCATTCCTTGAGAAGTCTAAAAAAACTGACCTCGTACAGTAATGTGAAAAAATTCGTGTAGTTGGAGGTTCTTAAAAAAAAAAAAACTTTAAGAAATGTCACAACTGTTACGTCAGAGAGACGTTTCTCAATTCACTCAATCGAAGTCAATTGAACACCAGACGTGCAATCTCAGGGAGAGTCTAATTTTGCAATTTAACAGCGTCTGTTGATAGTACAGTGGGGCGAAGATAAAAATCTGTGTCCTCACCGTGAACCAAACTACGGCCTCCGGGAGGTATCCGTTGGGATTATATGTGAGAGTTTCCCCAGTCGCGACATCGGACGACGACACTCCCCTCTGGCCAGACTACGGATCAGCGAACGGACGAGGCACGTGTTGAATCCAGGCACGTAAAATTATCAGGGCTTCGTGTTCACACGCGTATTATAACCGTATTTACACACACGCACAGACAAGGCCATGTGCAGACTTGGCATATTTTCATTCCACAGCCTTCTAACCACGAGAAACGCATTTAACATCGGCGAACAAGAGAATTGCACATGAACCGTGTACGTGAACGGATAGGCATGAAG